GTATGATCTTTAATATGAAAATTATTTAACTAATTTCGTTAGATTAAAACAATTAAAAAAATTAGTTATTTATGACAAATGGAAGTATCTTACATTTAAAACTGAATTCAACCAGTAATTAATTCTTATATTAACAACAATATAAAGTAGTTTTAATTTAATTTTCCTGGCTTTTATGAAGGAAACAAATTTATATTATTCAAGTAGTAGAGCTCAATGATTGAGTTATTTATTTATTTTTTATGATTCCTATGTATTAACGGGATCTTGAATATTCACCCCAAAAAAAGAATTGATATTGAATCGATCTTCAAAAACAACCGAAGAGGCGGCAGAATCTCTCTCTCTCTCTCTCTCTCTCTCTCTCTCTCTCTCTCTCTCTCTCACACACACACACACACACACACACACACACACACACACATTGCTCGACATTGCGGGAAGAAAAACGAGAGAATAAAACTTCATATATAATGTGCAAGCTAACAACACGCTTGAATAGATCAGACCGCTGAAAAACATTAATCTCGCTGTTTTCTTCTCTTTTTGTATCTTCATAATATATTCAAATGTATTGTTGACCAGCAAATTAAATTTATTCGAATGTTTTGTTAACTTGGAAACAGTGAGAATCTCCCTGCAAGTTCCTTTTCAGTGGTCTAATAATTTTTCAGAATTTATCAACACTAATAATTTACCGATTGTAACTCTCTGGCCCCCAAAAAACAAAAAAAAAAAGAAAAAGAAAACGAAAAACAAAGAGGGAAACCTTTTCTTTTCCCTCCCTATAATTTTAAAAATACATTATTTTAACTCTTAAATCTGTCACAAATTGTGTAATTTTTTTTTGGACTGAAGCTTGATTGTATATTACTTTTCTAATTCTTAATATAAGATCTAATTAATTAATTTGAATAGATTAAGAATGTTAGTTAAATTAGTTAATATGATATGTTTTTTCTAACACACCTTAAATATTTTTCTTAATTCTTTTCCTCCCTCTTCTACTTAATTATTGTTGGAGAATATTAATAAGGTTAATTTGGGAAAAAAATTCTATCTAGCAGGGGAAAAAAAAAAGAGAGAAAAAAATCATGACTACGATCCTACCAGTAACAAAGCAGAGGATAAGATCGGCCCGCATGAGCTGTGTGACTGTGTCAGCTCTTTTGTTTGATTAATGAATTTAAGAAACCTAAACGATAATTAAGAAAATAATATTCTTACTGCTTACGAATTCTTGAATTCTCAGGCATACCTGTTATTCCTTTCTTATATCCAAAAATTAATATAGTATAAAAAATCTCCCCATCTCCAATTAAAATTAAGATTTAGATACATTTTTAATATTTATGCATTACATATATCTATCTATATATAAATATAATTTAGTTGGTAAACTTGGACACTTGGATATTGGGGGAGAAAAAAAGAAACAACCTATTCAAACTTGATTTTGGCACCAGCAATGCTTACGAATTCATTTCACAAATGTCTATCAAAGATGAGGACTTTGATCATCCAAAGACGAACAGATAACCACAGATTTTATACGCCTTAGTTTTTTCAGGCTAAAATATTAAGGTGGGCCGACTTGACTTTGGATTTTCCGATGAGTTTCTATTCCATAACCGTAAGCAATAACTAGTAAAGTCAATCTGAACAATACGACCGCAAACTCATTTAATTTGACTTTTTTTAATTTCATGCTTACGATTTGCCCTTTTTTCCCCCTTCTTAATTCAAAAGACATGACCAGAGTGCTCTAATAAGTACAAATCAAACCCTCATAAATTCAATGTCCCAAAAAACAAGAAATGTGAATATCTTTCATTCCGGAAAATTATTCACGTTTCGAGAAGCCTACTCATTAAGGGTATGTTTGGCTCAATGAGAGGAAGGGGAGGGGAGGGATTTTAATGGAAGGAAGGGAAGGGGAGGGGAGTGGAAGGATTTTAATATTATCTTGTTTGGATTTATAAAAAAAGAGGGGAGGGGAGGGAAAAACATTTTAATATGGATAATTTTGCTCTTATTTTATTTAAGGTGTGGGCATAATGGTCACAACATGACAAAATATAGACATAATGGTTACAACATGACAAAATATAGGCATAATGGTCATAATATGACAAAATATTGCCCTTTCCCTCCAAATCCTCCCAATTTTGGAGGGGAGGTTAGGGAGGGGAGGGGAGGGGAAATTTTAAAAATTTTCTCTCCCCTCCTAAAATTTGTGTGTTGCCAAACAAGGGAAAATGATTAAAACCCCTCCCCTTCCCTCCCCTCCCTCCCAAATCCCTCATACCAAACACACCTAAGAGGGCTATGCCTTAAACACTTAAAATATGATAAAACCTTCCAAGTCCAAAACTTGAAATATCCTAGTCTCACACCAAAAAATTGTGAGTGTACATGAGTATTAACTTTTAACCATTAAGATTCCGCTCTTTTAGTCTTCTTCCCTCTCGGTTCTTTTTTAAACATACCGCATGCAATCAATCTTGTGAAGTAGTATTATAGACCTACTTTTTTGTTTTTTTACATTTTGAAAAGGATTAGTCTTTAGCTGATGGTTTAGGATATTTTTAGAATACAAGAAGAAGATGTATTTATTTTGTTTGGACTCAACTTCTTGACTTATTTTCATTATGTGCAATACGAAGTGTCAAGTGTCTATGATGTCAAAAAGAAGGGTCTATCAAGAATTAACGGCCTCACATTTTAATCTGTTTATTTTCTAATTAATATTAGTAATGAATAAATAACTAGGTCTTCTTATGATCGTAAGCCACCGACTACTATTTCCTTCGGAAAATAAAGAGTTGATTTTGTTGTGAATTCAGTTTAGTCCACTCATTTAGGGAGAGGCTGCGGTCAAACTGTTCTGCCACCATGTTATATTAGTTAATATTTTTTTCCAAATCCAAGCTGCACTAACACGAAACTTCCTTCGATAAGTAAACAATTATCTGAGTATCTACGTATATCCACCTAACTTAATTAGGCACAATTAATTAACCTTATATAAGCTGCATTTATAGTGTATATACAAATACACATACACATAGTCACACACGTCACGCAAGGGATTAAATTTATGATCTTTTTATCAAAATCTTACAATCCCAATCACCTGAACAAGTCAAATTCCAAAGTAGGAAACTCATTTTATTATTTCTACGAACAAGAGATGGTATCCTTTATTTCTTGGTAATTATGAACTATCATTGTAAGTTTAAAACAAAACCAAAGATTTAGCAAATGGAATCACTGTACATAAGCTGTAATGTATACAATCTGCATGCTGTGCAAAATTTTACTGAGAAAAAGAAAACCACTACTACACGTGATACAAATTAAAACAGCAAAGCGTGCGTGTGTGTACGGAGAGGCTAAACTTACTCAAGAGGTTGAGCTTCCTATTATATCTCTCTCAATAAAAATGCGAAAATACAAATAATAAAAATTAAAGAAACAATCAATAAATCGGTTATCTGTGTGCGCCTTCTGTATGGAGTTGGCTTCGATGAAGCTTCAATGATTGGCTGCCATGGCAGATGGGACTATATGATGAGGATAGGCAGCACCACCACCATGGAGGCGGAAAGCGTTGCCTGCAACGTTCATTTCATTCACCGGGGGGCATGGTTTGCCACCGGTTCCGGGGATGAATGTGCAACCCGAAGGTCCAGATGGAGGAACAGAACCTTTGGGAAGGGACTGCATCCAAAGATGTTTCTCCTCATCCAAGATCCTGCCAGCTTGGTTTTGCTGGGCATGCCCTAGTGTCAGAAGTAGCAGCAAAATAAGCTTGACGAAAACTCTCATTTTGTGTGTTGAGAAATAGGAACATATACCAACGTATGAAGCGTAATCACAATATGGTAAGTATTTATAGTGATGATAAGCCTTGAGGTTTGGTGACTTTTCTCAGGATTTTGTTTGGTTCAATGATTTTGACTTTCGAATACTTGCAAAGACTACATTTTTTTTTTGTTTTTATTTGTAGAATTTTCTACAAAATTGATTTGGTTATAACCTGGAACCTGCATTGAAGAGTTTCTGTTTAACTTGACATCGGGATTCATTCTGCCTTCCACGTGCCCCAAAAAAAAAATTAACAAAGGTGTTTTATGTTTATCCATTAATGTCTATTGGCGATAGCATCAATTCAAACTAGAGTCTATTTATTTATGGAGTCGGCAGGACAAAATTCCTCAATCTAGGCGTATCAAACACGATTATTAGATAATACTAGAGAAATCAAATGGTCAACTGTTGAATGGTTGTACTTGCTGGATTTGTACCCAACTCAGTTGCGATATGGCCGTTGGCCACGTAAGTTTGCATGAAGAATTTCTTGGTTTATGAATCAATATCGAATGAATGGGAAAGGTTAAATTTGATGCAAATTTGGCAGTCAAGACCAGATTGCCTGAAGTTTCAATAACACGAGGCCATGCATATGAAAGCGACTTCTCGTTTCGTAAGTTATACACACAACAATCCCCTTTGGAGGCACTAACTGGAAAATATGGTGCTAAAACTCAAAATCCCTCCACACAGCAAACTTCTAATGTTGATGGTTTTAAAAAGGAAATAAAAAAGAACATTTAATATGCAGCTCTCATACGCGTTAGAGTTGAGCAAGTAAAACGTTGCCCGAGAGAACTCTATAATTTGCTCTCTCTTTTCACGAGAAGATATTTTCACGCTGTGCGCTGGAATGTTAAGTTCGCAAGTTGAGAGAAAAATAGAACGAAAACTATTCCTCAAAAATAAATAAGACATTGAAAGTCCTTCGTTCTCGACTCCTGAAACATAATTTTGAAAGGGACGTTTTCTTCTCTCTCGAAAGTTGAGAAAGATGCTCGCGTGTGCGAGACCACATTGGAGCAAGCTAATCTATAAAAGGGTAATACTTGAATGCGAACCTACGAAATCCATTGTAGTCTCAAAATGAATGAGCAATGAGCTATCCCACGGAAAAGGGCATGTGAGAAAAGTAAAACTTCAGAAAAACGCTAGAACCAAATAAACTCAAAACAATCTTTACAAAATGTTTGCTTAACAAAGGGGATTTCAACCTCACTCCAATCTAGAAGACCCAGCAATTTCCTCGAATACATTATTACACTTCAGTGCCCACCACTTTGTGGACAACCTTCATCTTTTTGCCTCTCTAAGGACCACTTGACGGCCGGAATACAGTATAACCATTGACACCACATGCCATGTTTGAATAATCTGGGTAGTACGGGTACCCATCATTTTCAGGGTTTCTCATGCCAAGAAATGGCAGATCAGAGGCAGCCAACTGCCACTGGTTTTGAATCAACCCATCCACTTGCCCATTTAAATAGGGCATTGTGCTTCCCTGCGGGATATAATCCCTAACTGTGTCAAAATGTGTGCTGGATGGGCTGTAGCCTCCCTGAAACCTGTGCTCATGATAACTACGTGACCGCTCAAACTTGCAAGAACTGCTTGAGGATCCTAAATCATCACGTGAACCCAAGTCTGTGGGAAAAGTGAATTGCCGATTTAGTACCTGTGGTCCATTACTATGAGACTGGAAGACTGAGCCCTCCTGGGCCACACTCCCAATACCGTGTTCATCATCAAGCAAGTCATTGATGATATCAAGGTGTGGAAACTCATCTGCCAACAAACCTTGGGCATGCCGGCCTGATGTGCAAGCTGGAAACTCGGGGGCAATGCTGGCTACAGATCTACTGCTCACCAGCTTGTACAAGTCAAGGTTTTGAACATCATCAAGCGGGGAAGGCGGATCATAATGCATGCTCCTGGTGCCTTCTCTTTGAGAACTCTCAATCCACTGGGGCCCGCTCTGTAAAACATCTCTCGTGGCCATGCCAAAATGAACACCCTGCTGGCCACCATTAGAATCAATTCTGTCAGAACCCTGAGGCAAAAATATTGATGAGGAGGATGCCAAAGAAGGCGATTGTGAAAAGCCAGGTGATGGGTTAACTCCTGAAGTTGATGAATTGGAATAAGTGAGACTGGCTGCAGTTGAGGCAACAGAATTGCCCATTATGGCATTTCTGTAGGACTGGGGAACATAACTATGAGTAGCTGGTGATGAGTCAGGACCCAACCTGCCAACTGCACTCACTGAGCGTGCAATCGGAGGAGCTGTTTGAACCGGGGAAACAACTGGCGCAGTTGGTCTGGAACCAGGAACTAAAGGAGCACTGGATGGCCTTGATAATATAGGGACTTGTGATCTTTCACTACCTTTAACAGTTACCGTCCTCAGCATCTCAGTTTTGGGCGCAATGATTGTTGGTGATGCAGAGGTGAAGGTATCTTTATCAGACTGTTGGGAGCCAGTTGAAGTTGTTTTTCTGACATGCATATTATCGATGGTAGCACTAGTCTGATGTTCTGATTTTACCGGAACTGACGGTGGTAGACTTCTAGGGGGACTATTAGATGAGGATGGTGCTGCTGATGTCTTCTCTTTATCAATGTCAACTTGTTCTTTGATGCTAACTTTCTTCTGCAGTGAAAAATCTTCTTCCTATCATTAGAAAAGCAGATGCCACTGACATAAGGTTCAAAACATAATCACCAGTACGGAAGGGTCAGAAAGGAAACTTCAAAATAAAATTGGGCATGAATTAATTTATTAAAAAAAGATAACAAATTTAATATAAAATGTAGTCAATAACACCCCCCTCAAAAAAAAAAAAAACTAAATGAACTTTCAATGTTACTGCCGTAACCAATTTAACCCTTTCCAGATCAGTCTAGGTGCCATTTATTCATGAACAGAATTTTGCAGCAAATATCTACTTGGGCACTGCTGATCAGTCAAGATCATTTTTCATCTCTATGTACCTGATCTGATGGGAATGACGGAAGAATTGGAAAAGTACATTCTCTCCATTGCAATCAGGAAACAGATACAATAAATACCTCCTGCTATGGTTACCAGAGCCAGGGTATGAAAATATATCCAATTTATCTGAGCTTATTCCTTGAGAATAAAATTGCTTTCATCACATTTAATGTAAAAAGGTGAGAAACTAATCGGTGTTTCATCTCTCCCTTTTTCAAATTTTAGTCAAACAGATCAGACCCTTAATTAAATCTATTAAAGTTGATCTCCATAAGCAGACTACTGATTGAAACAAAGATTGAACAAACTTTCAAAATATCTCATGATAGATTATGCTTATATTTGTACTAGATATAAGTGTCTAAACAAAGGCAAAAATAAGCCAACCTTTTTCACATAGTGCTCAGGCGACTTCATCCTATCATGTGAGGAAATCTCAGCACCCTCACCCTCAGATCCACCAACCTTGCCACTTCGCAGCTCTTCATTAGCATCCCCAGCTTCTGGAGCAGAACCAGATGGCTGAACATCCAGCTCACTTGACCAACTTCCACCATCAGTTGTAGCTCTACCCTGTTGATTTTTAACTCTACATATAAAAAGTAGAAATCAATATTATTGCATATCATCAATATTCATCCAACCTGAAGAAAAATTAGGCTATATACTCACCTGCTAAGTGACCTTTGGACTTTGTGGTTTGAGAAAGCATTTCGCTTGTACGGAGCACTCATGACCACTGATGGCATTGAATCAGTAGAACATGTTGAAGAACTATCATCCATCACCGAACTGCCCCTTTTCTCAGCCACACCATTTTGTGCTGACGAAAGACTAGTGATACCATTGTTGCTAGCCTCAGCTGGAGGATGAACTTCTGATGCGTCAGTATCCCAGTTGACAAGACTAGCATCTCTGTCTTCTGAATCATGTTGAAGCACTTCAGTAACTCCATCCACGGAATCAGATACATCAGAAACATCTTCCAGGATATCAGGCTTTTCAGCAACAGTCTGCACATCCTCAATGTTAGAATCTTTTTTCTCATCAAGAGGCCTGTCTTCTAGGTGCTTCTCACTTACAGCAACAATAGGTCTCTCCTCCCTCCCCTTTTCCTTCCCTTTACGATTGTTCCGTTTTTGTTTGGTCTGTAACAAAAAGAAAGGGCCATCTGTCAGAAATTAGAAGGCATAAACACGGAGAACTCTTACAAACCCCTTGAAAACTCCAATTTAGATATAAGACCTGTTTCTTCTTTGACTTCTTTTCCTTCTCATTTACTCCTCGCCTTGCTTTCTGTTCACTTTCAGCCTGCCATGCCGCCTCTTCTTCACGGATGAGCTCTTCCTGTCTTTTCAAAGCAACAGCTTCCTGGTAAGCAACCTCAATTTTGTTGCTGCACAAATAAAGAAAACTATTAGCACATCATAACCTGAGAGGCATATCCTACAATTAATGAATTAAACAATATAAACATGCACACTATATATATATAGAATGAGCACTAGACAGCAATCCTCTCAATATGGTATGTATTTGACAAAACCAACCGCTAGCTTTTCTCATTAATTACATATCTTCCATAAATTTTACTCTGCATTCAAATAGCACCACCATGAAGTACCGTAAGATCAAATTGATACATACAAGAAACAAGAAATATGGATCACGCTGCCAATAGGGGATAACTTGATACCCATTATGCCTGATATAGCTAGCTTAAACAATGGAAGACCAAGACTGAAATTTGCAGTAAAAAGGTCCTACCTCTCTTTGAAGTATTGTACACGACACAAGATTGAAAGTACATAAGCTACACCAGTTAATACATAAACCAAGAAAACTGAATTAGAAAACAAAAGCAAGAAGATCTGCAAGCAAATCACATCCCAAAAAGCTCATTCTATGATATTAAAAACGCACAGTTTGAAGCCCCATTTGTAGTTGATAATGAAATGAGCAATGTCAGGAGAAAATAACAACATATGGGATTCTTAAATAACAATCAACAATAAGGATACCCATCATACCATGCCGATACCGTGTTCTAAATTTACAATTTGAAATCACATTAGTTACTCATTATTTTGAAGATCCCAGAACTAATTACACAAGCTACCTGAAGATGTGAGCAAGGGCAAATATTTCCACAGTCCTGCGACCCAATTCTGTAAGACGTCTTTCATCACGCTCAATAGAATCTTTATTGAAGTCCTCCCCGGAGTTTCCATCCTGTAGAAAGGGTGGAAAATGCTTCTCAGTCATCAAGATAAATCAGAAAAAGATGAACAAAACAAGTGCCATACCCACACCCCTCAGAGAATAAAAATTTCCCAGATGAATGACATAACCTTTCTATAGGTATGTATTATATATGAACTCCTCACACCAAGAAATAACAACAACTTGGTTAAACTCGTTTCTTACTTAACAATGGCATAGCTTCCAGAGTCCACAACAGCAGCAATCGAATGTATCTATATTCTATAGTAATATTGGTAGAAAAAGCAGTACGAACTAGAACTAAGAGGGTGTTTAAAAACCCCAAAAACCACTAATTAAAAATGCTTTCACACAAATCGAGAAAAAAATCCTCTCACATACTTATTTCGTATCCATAAAATCACTTTTAATGCCATGGTTTGGTTTTCACCCAAACAAAAGTGCAGATAAAATGTCACGAAATGTATATGCCTAGATTTATATACAAAAAGCATTTGCACTAGCTGCTCCTCCGTTGGACAAACTGGATTTTAAGCATCAGTGACAAACCATCCCTAATAATCTAGATCAGCATTAAAATTATATTATCACCGATAATTATTATTGATTCATGTAAAATAAAGTACTCCCATTAAGGCAGACATTTCATGCCTTAAAACTTGTCTCTCCAAAATACAATCTTGTAGAAGTGATTTTCTTCAAAATTTGAAATCTCACAAATTAAGGAATAGATACTACTCCTGAAAACATTTGAGAAAGGTGAAAACAACCCACATGCAATCTATAGTTCTATACCAAACATGTAAAATAAATTAGGACGAAATCTATTTGTTAGGTTGAACTATTGTTCAGCAAACAAAGTTTCTTACGTTGCCATTTTGTGTCAATTTGCAAGGTGTTTTTTTTTTTTTTTTTGGTTGGTTAGGGGGATAACGTTGAACAAAGCAAATAGTATGAGTTTTCTTCTTCTTGTTTAATTTGGTATTCTAAAATTAAAGGATTATTGAGGCTGTCGCTGATAAAGTCAGATTATATGAACAGCCTCAAAAACAGCAACTCTTTACCCAGGTTTAGACCAGAAGACACATCTTTTCAGATCTCTTCAACACATTCCTTCACTCTATAACCAGCTCTTAAACTGCCATCAGATTTCTAAACGGCTTGCCCACATAACCAATTACCTGCAGCTGCATGATTCCTCCATAGTTTTGAACATAAATTCAGCATCTCACCTTTGTACGATTTTGAGGACCCTTCTCATCTTTTGGAGGCAATGGCTCTACAGCAGCCCTCTCAAGTAGCAGTAAAACATCATCCACCAGTACAAACATATCTTTCTCAACACAAACTATCGGTGCCGGCATTTCTTCAGCATCCAGGAACTTTATCCTGCCTTTCTTGCTCTTCGTCTGGCCTTCAAGAGCTTTCAATCCACTATACAAAGAATCCATCACCAAGGTAGAAGTCACCTCTTTTTCTATAAAGAAATGTTTTACAACTACTTTCAAAATAACATCTGTCTTCTCCCTAGACATGCGGCGCCTGGAGTTTTGCTCAATTCCAAGCCAGAAAGCACAGAAGCTGCAGTCATTGCAGATTATATTTTGGTCAGCTAATAAAATCAGACACCAGAAAGTAAAGATCAAGCGTAAGTACATCCAAATATAAAAGAGACAGCCTACAACCTGCTGACTCAAAATTCAATCTATAATATACGCATAGCTTACACATGCACAAAATCTTAGCTCCATTAAGTGCAGAGCCCAAATTTATCATGTTTTAATGTATAAAAATAACTAAGTAAAAAAAATTTCTCCTTACTATACACAATCGCATGTTCCATACCCTCATGCTTTAGAATTTGAAAAGTAAGCATAAAGTACCTTGACCACCTAGCTTTATCCTCTATCAACTTCCCAAGCTTGCTTCTTCTCTCTTCCACAAAACGACGGCAAATTTGTTCTACATTTGTCAAATATACCCTAACAAGTTCTCTCCTATACTGACAATCAAGGCAACGAAAAGGCCTGTCTGCTTTCTCCCTGTGAATCAGAAACAAACAAAAAAATATTAAGCATCTGAACCAAAAGTTCCAAGCAGCAATGAAAGCTCAGTCTATTAAGAGAAGAAAGAGATCAGCATAAAAATAAACTGACGTTTTATATAATTGTCATAGGCATTTAGTCAGCCTTCATGACTTCGCATAAATTCTGGATTGCTTTGATGATCGCATTATCAGTTATAAATCTGAATATACCCAAGAGAATAATTATGTTTTCACTCCTAATTACTATAAATCTTGATTTTCTCCCTGGAATGAAAACTTTCCATTTAATCTCATCTTTTCACCATAATTCTACAAATTAGATGTTTTCCATAACATTTGATTTCCTTTATTTTCTTAGCTTTATTTCCTTGTCACTTTCCTAACTACTACCACAACAATTAATATACAGATGTGCAACACATGAATCAAAGCTTAAGCCCATCATGATGTAATTGTTCCAAAACATGTCACCTCAAATATCACGCAAGAAGCAAAAGGCCACAAGTAACTTTTACAATAAAAATCATAACTGATTTAAATCTGAAATGAATTATTCAAACATTAGAGTCATTAACTCATATATGTTCCCTTGGTAACAAGATGTCAATCTCTATGAATTATCCTATCATTCTGCCCCAAGCTGGCCAAGCATCAAGTAGGAAAGCTGGAAAAGAGAATGTTTCATGGATTCAAATCTTCAGTAACAGGTAAAGGAGAACAGTGGAGAGAACCTAAAAGTTTAAAGGACATCGAATGAGACATCAAGTGAGTGAATAATTTCATGGAGTCATGATGCCAGTCCCACAAATTTTACTCAAAAACTACTTTGGAAGAAAAAAACACATTGAGAAAGTAGCTGCCTTCCTCTTCACTCGCAGTGGCAAACATGCAGGTTTATAGTCCGTACAAACACACAATATGCATTAAAAAGTAAAAAATTAGATTATACATAAATACACCACAGAACACCTGATGACTTGAACTTGAGCTTTAATGATCAGATTGTCAGAAGTGTCCACAAATCCATCATACACTTTTGAAAGCTCCATGAACTTTTTCCAACCCCAGTCATGCTCCTTTTTCCAGAATCGATGCAGTGTATCTGGAAAACTCGAGTTCAAGTTACTAAAAAGGGCTGATACAAAAATTGAACACTACAATAATTATGAATTACAAAAGGTATTAAACAACAGACCAGAATATTTTGATTTTTTTGGATCTTTATTCACCACAGCTATTGTAAATTGTGCAAAATGACTCCACCCTGTACCAAGCCCAGAAGGCAGAAAAGAAAAGGTCAAGCATTATCTGATCAACAAGTGAAGCTAATGATCACCAATACAGTGTTAGAAAGTTCAATAATCAAACCTGGAAGAAGTTTGTCATGATTAGCTACACATAAAAACAATGACAGATGATTGCAGACGTCACAACCTTGTGGATAAATTAAGATGTACCTGCCACACACCATATCAAAGTTAGGTCAATCAAAAAGTGAAAACTAACAAGTGCATAAGTTTCAAATCATAAGTACCATCACAGAAAATCATAAAAATAAGTTAGATGAAAAATACGCTACCCATGAATGCTGATTATTGTGATATTTATGATATAAGACAAAACCTTCACAGGTGTGACGACAGATAAGTTATCACTAGGATGACAAATTGGTGCATGATATTGTAACCTAAGAAAAAAAATTGGCGTATGATACAGCCATAGGCTCCTCCAACATTCAATGATCTATGAGCTCTCGAAATTGCAGAGTACTGGAATTGCCTATAATTCCCTAGCCCCATATTTGGGAATGTTCAAGATCACTCAACCATTATTGATCAAAGGCCAAAGCCACAATGAAAAAAGGCTAACAAAGAGAAATGGACCGTGAATAGGAGAGGGATTAAAAGGTTACTCTTTTCATGATCCAACAAAAAGAAAATCATCGCCTTTTAAACTAACCCAACTATTTTTATCAGCCAATAAAGGGAGAAAAAGATTACTATGCCTCCACAGTAAAATTTCACCTGAAGTGCATTGTATGCGTCTCAAAATTTACCATAAAACAAACATAATCACGCTGCATCTAATGAGGAGGGGGGGTAATGCATACTTAAGAGATTACACATTCAAGAAAAGAAGCTAAAGCATACATATATAGAAAAAAGTTTAAATGGAAATTACAAAAACAACAGAGAAAATAAAGCACGGAAACATGCATACATGTCAAGCCAATAATTTTTTTATCTTAAAGCTTCATACCATTTGTAGCCGCCAACCTCAAATGCATTACTACGAAGCTCCCTTTTGGTAATCTGAGAAAATTTTTCGATCTTCCATGTGTATTTTCCATATAATTCAGAAGGTTTTGGACCTGGTAAAGAAGAAGACTAGATATTTGAACAACTACAATTTTTATGTAACATATAAGATTTGGGACAATTAACTAAGGATCCATGCTGGTAGACTGAATGACAAAATGGATTAAAAATTCTATCATTCACAATGGATACACAAATGGCTGGCCAAGACCAAAATAGCTTATCCAAAAGAAGAGGCTTGCCAATGTCATGGACTGTAATTATTTCTAAAATTTGTACGAACCAAAAATTTTTAACCATGGCTCTCAATATGAGCAGCAATAAATAATAAAATAGTACAATTAATTGATAGCATGCTTTTTCCAAGCTACAGATCATGATATATTCACTTCTTACAATCGCTGATCTATTAAAAATAAAATGCTGATAATAAATCATCTGAATGAAAATGCTTTTTAGGGGGAAAAATCCACATTTAGTACAACATTGCATTACGCTGATTACCATCTCTCCATCTCACTTCGTAGTACGGGAATCAAAATAACACATTTTCTGCAATGTAACAATTCAAATTACAAATATAGATAAAGTATAAACAGAAAAAGAAATATACCACCATCATCATCGTCATCAGTATCCCAGTACGGGGGTGAAGTAGATGGAGTTCCATTTTCAACCTGCTCAGAAGACCTCCATTCCGCCAATGCTTCGCCAGATTGACAGCCCTGCCCACTTGAAATTCCATCGACAGACTTTCCAGCTCCAGAGTCGTCAGTCACAACCCCAGCCATTCCCTGCTCAGAAACTATTTCACTAACACTTCTCTGGTAACACCTGCTAGATAGTAAGCACAGAAACAAATAGTCAAAATAAGTTCTTAAACGCCACTTTGCTTTATAAGATAGTGAATCATTCCAACATTTACAGCATCATTGCCTAGTTGCATCAAAATATCGTATAACATAATAAATATAAAAAGTCAACTGATAGTCATTTACCACTTACTTCTTGTCAGTTTTACATAACAGGCTCGAAAGCCGTCGGCATATATCGTTCCAAATGATAGAAAACAGAACAGATTTAAAACCCATATTGATATTGTAACAATCAGGACCTAAGAGAACGCCGGCACCCTCCTTGGAGCCAATGTGTCCTAGTAGGAGGCTAGCTTCTCATTTATCAAAACTCAACACTCAACATTTCCAGCTGAAGGGGAAAAGTGAAAAACTTCAGTTCTGATGCCGCTCCTGATTATTACTGCCCACCAAATACCCCCTACATTTTCACCAAACAAAACCAAAAACCCACACCGAGAAGGGGAAAAAGTATCAATAAAACCCTAAAATGGATATGTAAAATAATGAGAAATTAAGTTCAGAACCGGTCAGATGGATTAAAACAGCCCCTAATTAAACCCATAAAATAACGAGATTACGTTCCCAGCACAAGAAGCTCAATTAAAGAAATCCAAAAACACGATAAACCCCGAAACAATCCATGGCAAAAACGAACAAGATCTTGGGCAATAATCCCCAGAAAAACCATTGATCAAAATCCGCCGAATGACGCAAAGGAAGACCAAGGAATATCCAGACAACAATTATGACGGAGTATGGAATTACAGACGGCATCGCTTGGATCCACTAGGCATACAAACCTGAAATCGAAGGCCAGAGCTTTTGTCAAAGGGCCAACCCGACCTCTGAGATTTTAGAGAGAGACAAACGATGAGGGAGGAAGAGAGAGGTCGAGGTGAGCAGTAACACAGAGCAAAGGCGGAACCAAAAAAGAAAATAGCATTTATTTTTATTTTAAAGAGCTCCTTTTATTTTTATTTTCTCACAAATCCAACAGATTCTCGCAAGAAAATCCTGGAGGAGGAGGACGACGCTGAGGCCGGGGGATGGGACTGAGGGCGAAAGTCCAAACAAAATTCTCCGCCCTTCTCCAATAAATGTATATGTCTGTCTAATTTTTCGTGAATATTATGAACACGGTTAATTTTAATTAAGATCTATATTATTAATATTAGTTATCGTATCCTCTGTTTTTTGGGCAAATTAATTAACAACTTTAAACAAATAAGGTCGGTGACGAAAATGCGAAACTGACTTAGCCGAAGACAGCAATTTTCATACGCTTCGCTTGTTGTTTTTCTTCCCAAGCGTCATGTTGCTTTTTTGTTGTTTGTGGTGAGTCTCATGGTTACACATATCATGCTCCCTCCGTTTTAGATGTAATTCACGTCGTGGAAAGTTTAATGGTATTTGGCACATGAGGTAGTTTGTGAATTTCTAAAAGTTATTAGTGTATTTTTCTAAAATGCTCATAAGAGTAAATTAAAATTACTTCTCTCTCTTTATTAACACTATGGTCCATTTCCCATGTATTTAAAGAAGGGTAATTTTTTTTAAAAAAATATTAACCACCTTTTTGTTTTTCTTAATAAGCTCGTGTTAGGTGGAAACGCCTTATATTTAAACCGGGGAATTATATATGCTTAACGCTATAAACAAAATAACTGTGTTGTGAGATGAGGATGGAATGCTTAATTAAAATTGGTAATTTGATTAGCATTATTAATTCTGCTTACTCTTTTATTTTACATCTTCTTTTATCAAAATTTTATAATCCTAATTTTTTTAATTTTTTAAATCAAATTTATTAAAATTTTTCGTCCTCTCTCTTCCGTTCCAATTCTCTCATATCAATTGCACGGTAAGCTAAAAATTTGTCAAAATAGGATGTCACAGAGTCAAAGATATGGAGTTTGACGGTTTGCACATGTATTAGTAAATTGAAGTTGGATCGCATATTCAAGAAGTGGGAAGAGCGAAATCACGACATGCTCGTTTTACATTAACACATAGGATTACAAGGATTCATGAGGATATTTAAGGCCAAGATGGAAAACGGGCATGGTGGAGTGGGAGGCAAAATAGATAACTTTTTATTTTTCTCATTTTTAGTGTTATAACTAGTTAATTAATTTGAATAGATTATGATAGTTGAATAAATTACTTAATTTTAATAATATGGTGTGAACCGGTTTGAATGATTATATTATTCTTGGTTCTATTTTTTTTATTCAATTCGTAATATCTCAGTCATTATAAATTTAAATGAATTTTAATGATGATTTTGATATAATGATTATTATTTTAGTTATTGAAGAACAGTAAAGATGAACATTCTCAATATCATTGTATTCTATTATTGTTACAATCAAACTAATATAATATTTTTTTCTATTTTGTTATTAGTGACTATTAATATTGTTGTATTTTGTTATTTTTAATTAAACTATATTATTTTAATATGACTCGGTTAATTTTGAGTTAATCCTAATCCAATCTATTGACATTTAAATTACCACCTCAACTAATTTAATGTTCAATCTGATTTTGTATTTTTTGTTGATATGATTTGATATCTTTCTAGATATAGATTTGCATTTATCTTTGCGTTTCTTACTATTTTGTATTAAGATTTATTAGTCTTGTTCCTTGTACTTATTATATATTAATGTGCTCGTATCATTTCAAAATATATACAATTCGTGCCACCGACATTTCCTCTCTCTCTCTCTCTATCTCTAAGAGGGAAAATCAAGAGGTGTTTGACAACCCTCAAAAATACTTTTCAGAAATACTTTTCCGCAAAATGAGACAAATTCTTTCATTTATTTATTTCATAAACCGTAAAAACAATTTTAAAACCATAGTTTGGTTTCCATCCAAATACGTCCCCAATAGAAAAATGAAAACAGGGAAGGACTCCTCGTTTTAACTAATTTAAGGCAATCCCAATACTGACTTATTAATAAATACCAAAGCCACCGATTTAACAGACTCAACGGATTTTCCTTTTTTCCCCCCCCTGATATAATACCAAGCTCAACAATTTATTTATTCATAATACGCCAATTTGATCCAGTTGCATTTTGGAACTCAAATCCTGAAATGAAGAAGAGCAGAAGTCCCATCCAGCCCTTTTGCATTGTAGTAAGCTACATATCCTGCAACACTTGTTTCACTATATTTTGGAGGGTTATCTTCAGATATCAGTTCCTCTATGGGTCCAAATAGCTTTGGTGATGCCTTCAAACCATCTCTAAAAAAGCTAGCAATAGATATTCTTGGACCCTTGATATTGGCCAATACTCTGTGTTCGACACTCTTGAATTTGTCATTTGTTATAAGCTGCACTAGAAGAAAACTATTCATTACCAACACGTCATGTGTGAATTCAAATATCACATTACCTTTCTTCTACCCTCTAACAAATAAGAGTTGCAAGAAAAAACAGAAGCGCATGAAAAAGAAGAGAAAGCTTGCCTGCAGAAGGTCACCAATGTTAACAACTAAAGCTCCAGGAGCCGGTGGAATATCAATCCATGTGTTCTCGTAAAGAACCTGAAGGCCACCTATGTGGTCATGGAGAAGTACTGTGAGAAAGTCACTATCAGAGTGCTTCGTGGTTCCCAAAGTGAGGTCTGGTTCAGGACAAGCGGGGTAGTAATGGCCAAACCTTAAAGCCCCTCAGCACAACCCATGTCTCTCAAATGATTCGGGTTTAGACCAAGAGCTTCTGATAATAACTCAAACAACAATATTCCCAATTTCATCATGTGCTTTCCGTATTCCAGTAATATATCTCTGCAATTGGATGCAAGAAGTAAACCAAAAGCTAGATACTTCAAATCTCACATTTTAAACTTCAACTATATTTGTTGTGAACTAGAATTCAATTATGTATGACCTAGTTTGCCTAAAAGCAATGAAAACATACCTGCATATGTCTGGCAAGTCTTCTGGTTTTGGAGGATCAGGAGCGATGTTATACATAGTATCCCTCCAGTTCAAAGCTGGTGAACTGTAAAGATCAAAGTTGCTATTATACACAAAAGGTTTCATTTGATCTCGTGTGTATATTTTCTTTTTGACCTCCAGATCTTGCTCATGAAACCTTCGTACTCCAGCTATAATGTCATCAAGAACATGCAGAGGAATACCATGATTGACCACCTGAAAGAAGCCCCACGTCTCAGAAGCTTCCCTAACTCTTTCAACTATTTCTTGGCGCTTGCTGGGCCCTTTATCAGCATCGGTGAGGTCTAAAACAGGAATAACATGCTTGTTGTCTCCCAAATTCGAAGGTTGTTCAGAATGATCAAGAGGATGATGGAACAAAGGAGGAATCTTGGTGACTCCTGCATCAACGAGCCCCTTGACGCCAGCTTTTGTGTCATCAAATGCTTTGCGCTCAATTTGGTCCTCAGATTCCGACTGCCGTGTGATTCCCATTTTCCTCAGACTGAAACAGAAGAAAAGGTTGGGCACGATATAAACAGAGGACCTTCTCGTATTTGAGCCCAGAAACTTGAAAGTACAGGTGAGGTTAAATAGCAAAAGCCATTTTGAAGAGAAGCCAAAAGCAGTGAAGTAAAGGAGAGAGACGAAAAGATGAGAGGGCAGATTAGACAAGACGCGCCTGAAAGTTTGTGGTAAAATGGTAGCTGAGACTTTGGGGCAAAGCATTAATTTCGTGTTTTTCCCTTGGCCTGCCACGCTTCAAAATAAGAAATATATAGCTGACTACTTGACTGTGATAAAATACTTTTTCAAAATAAAACATATATGTATTTATCGCACTCGCTTAATTCCAGTATTTTTACACATCCAAAAAAGTAATTTCTCTTTCAGTATACGAATGCAAGGAGAAAATTTACACATTAATTTATATATTTAATATTCGATTACATGATCAAATCTTTTTTAGAAAATACTTATAATTTTTTTGACATTCTTATACAAGAGAAGAGATTTATACACTCGTTTCTCGAGTGTTGTTTTAAAATAGTTATAACCTACGTGAATATTAATTTAACATTTCTAAAACACACAACTCCTTGGCCAATCTATTTAGTGTGCGATTAAAATTTCTGTGTGTGTCGTAAAAATAACTAACAACGTCCTGTTACTCCTTTGTATTATCGCGCGTACCAAAAGGCATCTTTCAATGATTTTCTTCAATTGAGTATATGCTTTAAAGGTTTGATAAAGTGATTTGCATCACAAGACTTCAACCACAGCTCTTTATGCAAAAACCAAAAGCATCTCACATGTGTTGTTATCAAGTTATGGAGACGTTGTGGCATTTTGCTATATGGAACTTTTATGCCCATTATGCTACTTCTAATCTCTTAAATATTTACGAGATCAATTCCTAAATTTTGTTTAAAGGCCACTTCAACGTTCATATAGGAGGGGTTT